CGGAGTACTATCAGCTGGAAAAAAGCGTGATGCAAATACAGTATCGAATTGATTGACAGATATTGCCGGTTTAATGATATTCTAACACATTTCGAGATCAGTCTTCCATTTAAAACAGTTCTAGTCCAACACAGACTTGATAATGCTTAAGAAAAGACTTCAAGCTTTAGGTTACGTAGAATGGGAAAAAGTTAACGTAAACGGTACGTTTTACCTTAATTTCTGTTAGAAATGTTACGTCATATTGAGAAATACCTTACACGTGGTGATATTTTGCACTCCATTTACTATAAAATAATATTTAACAAATGTAGCAGTTTTGTCAATAAAGTTATACAATTTTTGTGTTAAATTAATCGGTGTATTTTAATTCGGCAAAATTTGTTTCAGTACTTGTTACTACCTTCTGGGATCAATGAAAATTAATAAAATAATTATTTTAAACTAAATACTTTGTATACGATCAGTCTAAAGTTTTTCAACTGTATGTATTTAAATTATTGCAGATTCACAACACTTTCGCAAGGTAATAGTCTGGTTAGAGGACCAAAAGATACGTCAGTACGATATACAAGATCGGAAGCAATTAAGAGACTTGAAAAGTGACACATGGCCGAAAATCTTTGCCAAATATTGTGAAGATGTTAAATGTCCAATTACAAATAACACCTTAGATCAACTTGAGTGGTTAGTTGGACATGCCATCTGGTTGGAAATGGAAAATAATAGTAAGAACTGACCCTAAAAAGAAAAGTTTTCTGTTTAATATTTCATGCATTGGTATTAATCCTAAAAACATCTGTGCTATATAATCTAGATGAATCATATTCGGAAAATGTAAAAGAGATGAAATTAAAAGCCAAGAAAGAAGCAATGATGCCCAAGTTTAAATCCAAAAATCCACTTGACAATTTAGACTGTGAGTATATAGTGGTACATTCATGATATAGTACTGATTAGGAGGCTTACTGAATTTTTTACTTAATAGTTGAGAGCGTTGAGTTTAAGAAAGGAGTATATTCTCTGGCAAAAATCCTTCGAATTCCGGAGCATCCGAATCACTTGATTACGTTGAAGGCCTGCAGTAAATTGGTCCAAAAGAGATTAAAAACCGAGTGCCTACGAAATCCAAATTCTAAAATTCTTAAAGGAAAACCGTTCCCTATAATGGATATTGCTCCTGGATTTGGCTTGAGCAAACCTGCTCTCGACAATGGAGCTAAACTGTTAGCTCTACTTTATATTCAGGATATTAGAAATCTTCAAACAAAGATTAACGAAGTAATTGTTCGTGTACAAAACATCACTGCTAATCCGAAAACGGATACCAAGTTAGGAAAAGTTGGAAAATAAATAGTTAAAGATCATGATAATCAACAAAACGTTTGAAATATGTTATTAAAACATGAGAAACACATGCGAAATCATTAAATCTTCAAAATACTCTTTAATCTTCTGATAAAATATTTACTCTGAATTAACAGAAGGCGATAGTGATTATTAATTTATAATTTTGTATTAAGACTTGTAAAAAATGTAACTGAATTTACTACGATATTATCTAGTTTTTACAGTTTATTCATATCTATTTATTACTTCATTATTAATGATCATGGAGAATCGGATAGAAATGTGTAACAATATTTTGCTTCAACATTGTCTATTTCATAGTGGTAAGATGAAAGAGTTGTTTATAAATTGCCAGGTATACGTATTTGTATCATCATTGAAATAAAATATCAATTGAAATTCTGTGTCAATTATTCTGGACTGAAAGACTGGTAATGAGGAAATAAATATCTTCGAATTTGTTTATGAATGGAAATCAGGTTTTATTTTAATTGTTTTTAATAAAAATGAAATATTTTAATTACTTCAGTACTTCTCAGACATTGGAAATATAACAGATACCCCCGAATACACGATATCATGTTCCACAGGAAACATTCGGGTTGCAGAGAAAAGGAAATTCATTGATATGTATGAAGTTCATGATGTAGAGGACAGAGGACTCTGATATGTACTTTATTATATTACACAGACGAGGTTATGCACTACTGCTACCATTTTAGCCAGTTTTAGTGTTGACACATGCTTTATATAGTTCAAACATTTTTTATTCTGAGAATCTAAGCTCAAATTAATTGGCTGAATCATTTGATACACATTCTGGTAAGGATGAACTTGGCAACCAGTATATTTAGGTTAGGCTGTACCAAAGTTAATAACATTTACAAGTTTGGTGGTTGCCTGAGCCGAGATGCCTCAACGACTAACAGATACCCTGTTAATTGGACTCGGCCTCCGATAAAAACCGAAGCAGATCCTACTCAAAGCGGTGATTTAGGTCTAGATATTCCTATAAAAAAAAGTGAAATTGCATTGTACTATAATCGTTCAACTGAACTGGAAGAGTAAGTAACTCCTGCATTGATAATCCTTACAGATTCAACTTTGTTGAACAGCACCTGTGTTAAACACTATTGTATATGATTTGTCTGATACAGTGCAAATGATATCGTACAAAAAATGTTTTCCTTGGAATTTCAATCTCGAAGAGAATTTCGAAATTTGAAAAGAGAGAAGGTAATGGCATTAGTGAAAAGGCATGTTTCTGACCGAGGATCTACAGAATCAGTAAGTAAGTATGCTCTTGTTTTGGAGCTTATCAAAAAAGTATAAAATATTCAGAAGTTTCTATTAAACTATGAATTGTGTTCTAGTTGCTGCAATGACTAGCGAGATACAGCACCTTCAGGAATATATGGAGAAACATCCAAGAAACAAACCAACAAAGGTAGTCTTAAAAGAATTAGTCGACAAAAGAAGAAAATATTTAAGATACCTACGTAAATGGGACTACAAACGATTTGAATGGCTTTTAGAGCGTTTGAATCTTGTTTACAAACCTATACCAGAGTACTGTATCTTTTCTTCAACAATTATTATATAAGAATAATCATTCCCTAGTCGGCAACTTGATGAACTAATTATTTTTAATTTAAACATTGTAGAAAGTTGGGTACGGTGGCAAAGAAAGAATCGATTAGACGATTAACACAAGAGTATTGTGATAAAATCATTCAAAACAAAATTGATGCGTATAAGGCTCAGTTGAGAGAACAAAAAAAGAACTTTTACCGTGAAAAAGCAGAGAAACTGGCATTTATTTTAAAAGAAGAAACAGAGTGTGGAGTGAATCCATCAGTCACAGAGGAAGAAATTGAAGCTGCACGGAAGAAAGCAGATGAGTTGTCAGTGTAAATAAATAATAAGTGAAATAAAACTAAGTCATGATGCAACTTAGTTTTCTCCAAATCTTATAAACCAGTTTTCTTGAATCAATTTGCGTTTGCAATGGAATTTTTCTGACGTTCTGATTCTTTCTATATTAACTCTCTTCATGTTTCCAGAAATTTCATATTATAAGTTATAAATCATAGGAGTCATTAATACTCGAGCGTCAAATATACATATATGTACATAATAAATAATAATACTTATGATAATTTAATTTCACATATTATTTCAAAAGAATATTTGAAAACAATTTTATTACACCAAGATCCAAATTTTAATTTATATCTAAATTTTTTCTCTAAATTTTATAAACCAGTTTTCTTGAATCAATTTGCGTTTGCAATGGAATTTTTCTGACGTTCTGATTCTTTCTATATTAACTCTCTTCATGTTTCCAGAAATTTCATATTATAAGTTATAAATCATAGGAGTCATTAATACTCGAGCGTCAAATATACATATATGTACATAATAAATAATAATACTTATGATAATTTAATTATTTCAAAAGAATATTTAAAAACAATTTTANGCATTGTCTTTCTGTAACCTACCTACTCTTGCTTTCTTAAATTGTCTAATTCTTTGTCCTTGTTGGTTAAGTCTCTCCATACTCAGTGACCGATGCAATCATGAAGGGACCGGATTACAGCAGAAATGGGAATATAAACATACCACGACTTTTTTCATTGGACGAACAATACTGTTGTGTATCCTTGTCTTACTCATTACAGGAATAGGGAAATCAGTTAGAAAATCCGTTTCATATTTTTTTCTGGATGATTTTAACGCACATCGTGTTAAATGGGGAGATCTTGATATAGTTAATAGATAAATATGGAATATGGCGGCTCTCGCACATCACCATTTACAATCTGAATCACAAATGGACAGCAAACAAGTAATTTCTTATATTGAATTAATGATACTGCCTAGTTATGCTATTTTCTTTTTAAATAACACCAATATAATATTTTAAACTTACTTTTTCCAAGGATATTCGTATTATAAATTATCGAACATTAATTTCAGACATTGGATTTTCACTCAAACAAATTTCTTTTTCCTTAGAATTCTAGAATGTTGTCATAATTAATTTCAAGTGAAAATGTACCTACCATAATGTACACTTCCCTAGCTTTAATTATAGCCTTCTAACATTAAAATATTTCAACGTGAAAGCATCGAAATGTTGTTAGTTTTTATTTGATTATGTTTGATTGTTGCCGTTTTTACCGTACAACGTGATCAACAAGAATCATTTAATCCGTAAGAATATCCGTACACTACCACTATACGTAGTGGCAAAACGCTGAAACTGCTCGACAGCATTACCGATGGATGGAAATTTCTGTATGCATTAGTATCTTATTTTGTAGACAGTATTGATAAATTATTATTATTATTAAATGTAGAAACACTTTATAAATGTGAAATTTAATTCTATTTTTCTTCTCATCAACGATGTTTTTTTCTAAAAACAGATATAAATAAATCATAGAGTGTACACAAAAGATTTATTAAAATATTACAATTTGGATAAAGAATACTTGAAATCAAAACGTTTAAATTGAGGCGGAGTTTATAAAAATGTGGATATTTTAAATTAATTTATTTAAAAATATGTCAACAAATCTCAGATGGTAGAGTTACCACATATTGACCCTAGATGGTGTATTAAAGTAGCAACTAGATACGCGATGACGTACAGTGCAGTAGCGTGTAGTGCGGTGAAATTTCTTGAAACCGGAGTACTATCAGCTGGAAAAAAGCGTGATGCAAATACAGTATCGAATTGATTGACAGATATTGCCGGTTTAATGATATTCTAACACATTTCGAGATCAGTCTTCCATTTAAAACAGTTCTAGTCCAACACAGACTTGATAATGCTTAAGAAAAGACTTCAAGCTTTAGGTTACGTAGAATGGGAAAAAGTTAACGTAAACGGTACGTTTTACCTTAATTTCTGTTAGAAATGTTACGTCATATTGAGAAATACCTTACACGTGGTGATATTTTGCACTCCATTTACTATAAAATAATATTTAACAAATGTAGCAGTTTTGTCAATAAAGTTATACAATTTTTGTGTTAAATTAATCGGTGTATTTTAATTCGGCAAAATTTGTTTCAGTACTTGTTACTACCTTCTGGGATCAATGAAAATTAATAAAATAATTATTTTAAACTAAATACTTTGTATACGATCAGTCTAAAGTTTTTCAACTGTATGTATTTAAATTATTGCAGATTCACAACACTTTCGCAAGGTAATAGTCTGGTTAGAGGACCAAAAGATACGTCAGTACGATATACAAGATCGGAAGCAATTAAGAGACTTGAAAAGTGACACATGGCCGAAAATCTTTGCCAAATATTGTGAAGATGTTAAATGTCCAATTACAAATAACACCTTAGATCAACTTGAGTGGTTAGTTGGACATGCCATCTGGTTGGAAATGGAAAATAATAGTAAGAACTGACCCTAAAAAGAAAAGTTTTCTGTTTAATATTTCATGCATTGGTATTAATCCTAAAAACATCTGTGCTATATAATCTAGATGAATCATATTCGGAAAATGTAAAAGAGATGAAATTAAAAGCCAAGAAAGAAGCAATGATGCCCAAGTTTAAATCCAAAAATCCACTTGACAATTTAGACTGTGAGTATATAGTGGTACATTCATGATATAGTACTGATTAGGAGGCTTACTGAATTTTTTACTTAATAGTTGAGAGCGTTGAGTTTAAGAAAGGAGTATATTCTCTGGCAAAAATCCTTCGAATTCCGGAGCATCCGAATCACTTGATTACGTTGAAGGCCTGCAGTAAATTGGTCCAAAAGAGATTAAAAACCGAGTGCCTACGAAATCCAAATTCTAAAATTCTTAAAGGAAAACCGTTCCCTATAATGGATATTGCTCCTGGATTTGGCTTGAGCAAACCTGCTCTCGACAATGGAGCTAAACTGTTAGCTCTACTTTATATTCAGGATATTAGAAATCTTCAAACAAAGATTAACGAAGTAATTGTTCGTGTACAAAACATCACTGCTAATCCGAAAACGGATACCAAGTTAGGAAAAGTTGGAAAATAAATAGTTAAAGATCATGATAATCAACAAAACGTTTGAAATATGTTATTAAAACATGAGAAACACATGCGAAATCATTAAATCTTCAAAATACTCTTTAATCTTCTGATAAAATATTTACTCTGAATTAACAGAAGGCGATAGTGATTATTAATTTATAATTTTGTATTAAGACTTGTAAAAAATGTAACTGAATTTACTACGATATTATCTAGTTTTTACAGTTTATTCATATCTATTTATTACTTCATTATTAATGATCATGGAGAATCGGATAGAAATGTGTAACAATATTTTGCTTCAACATTGTCTATTTCATAGTGGTAAGATGAAAGAGTTGTTTATAAATTGCCAGGTATACGTATTTGTATCATCATTGAAATAAAATATCAATTGAAATTCTGTGTCAATTATTCTGGACTGAAAGACTGGTAATGAGGAAATAAATATCTTCGAATTTGTTTATGAATGGAAATCAGGTTTTATTTTAATTGTTTTTAATAAAAATGAAATATTTTAATTACTTCAGTACTTCTCAGACATTGGAAATATAACAGATACCCCCGAATACACGATATCATGTTCCACAGGAAACATTCGGGTTGCAGAGAAAAGGAAATTCATTGATATGTATGAAGTTCATGATGTAGAGGACAGAGGACTCTGATATGTACTTTATTATATTACACAGACGAGGTTATGCACTACTGCTACCATTTTAGCCAGTTTTAGTGTTGACACATGCTTTATATAGTTCAAACATTTTTTATTCTGAGAATCTAAGCTCAAATTAATTGGCTGAATCATTTGATACACATTCTGGTAAGGATGAACTTGGCAACCAGTATATTTAGGTTAGGCTGTACCAAAGTTAATAACATTTACAAGTTTGGTGGTTGCCTGAGCCGAGATGCCTCAACGACTAACAGATACCCTGTTAATTGGACTCGGCCTCCGATAAAAACCGAAGCAGATCCTACTCAAAGCGGTGATTTAGGTCTAGATATTCCTATAAAAAAAAGTGAAATTGCATTGTACTATAATCGTTCAACTGAACTGGAAGAGTAAGTAACTCCTGCATTGATAATCCTTACAGATTCAACTTTGTTGAACAGCACCTGTGTTAAACACTATTGTATATGATTTGTCTGATACAGTGCAAATGATATCGTACAAAAAATGTTTTCCTTGGAATTTCAATCTCGAAGAGAATTTCGAAATTTGAAAAGAGAGAAGGTAATGGCATTAGTGAAAAGGCATGTTTCTGACCGAGGATCTACAGAATCAGTAAGTAAGTATGCTCTTGTTTTGGAGCTTATCAAAAAAGTATAAAATATTCAGAAGTTTCTATTAAACTATGAATTGTGTTCTAGTTGCTGCAATGACTAGCGAGATACAGCACCTTCAGGAATATATGGAGAAACATCCAAGAAACAAACCAACAAAGGTAGTCTTAAAAGAATTAGTCGACAAAAGAAGAAAATATTTAAGATACCTACGTAAATGGGACTACAAACGATTTGAATGGCTTTTAGAGCGTTTGAATCTTGTTTACAAACCTATACCAGAGTACTGTATCTTTTCTTCAACAATTATTATATAAGAATAATCATTCCCTAGTCGGCAACTTGATGAACTAATTATTTTTAATTTAAACATTGTAGAAAGTTGGGTACGGTGGCAAAGAAAGAATCGATTAGACGATTAACACAAGAGTATTGTGATAAAATCATTCAAAACAAAATTGATGCGTATAAGGCTCAGTTGAGAGAACAAAAAAAGAACTTTTACCGTGAAAAAGCAGAGAAACTGGCATTTATTTTAAAAGAAGAAACAGAGTGTGGAGTGAATCCATCAGTCACAGAGGAAGAAATTGAAGCTGCACGGAAGAAAGCAGATGAGTTGTCAGTGTAAATAAATAATAAGTGAAATAAAACTAAGTCATGATGCAACTTAGTTTTCTCCAAATCTTATAAACCAGTTTTCTTGAATCAATTTGCGTTTGCAATGGAATTTTTCTGACGTTCTGATTCTTTCTATATTAACTCTCTTCATGTTTCCAGAAATTTCATATTATAAGTTATAAATCATAGGAGTCATCGATACTCGAGCGTCAAATATACATATATGTACATAATAAATAATAATACTTATGATAATTTAATTTCACATATTATTTCAAAAGAATATTTGAAAACAATTTTATTACACCAAGATCCAAATTTTAATTTATATCTAAATTTTTTCTCTAAATTTTATAAACCAGTTTTCTTGAATCAATTTGCGTTTGCAATGGAATTTTTCTGACGTTCTGATTCTTTCTATATTAACTCTCTTCATGTTTCCAGAAATTTCATATTATAAGTTATAAATCATAGGAGTCATTAATACTCGAGCGTCAAATATACATATATGTACATAATAAATAATAATACTTATGATAATTTAATTATTTCAAAAGAATATTTAAAAACAATTTTATTACACCAAGATCCTATCCGAAACTATATGTTGTCAGATTTCTCTGTATTCATCATGTTTCGCGCGTACATACCAAGGGATTCGAAGTTCTACCAAAATGTTGGTGGCAAATCTATGCTTTCCACACACTGTCTCAATTGAAAATTGATTAATGGATGTGTGATTTGAAAATAACGCGGAAATTGTAAAAGAACCGTTGGTTTTTCTACGTTTTATTACCAAAAGAATTTTATTTACAAGTAAATTGCTGTATCTGTATACAAGTAGTCGTCTACGGTCGTAACAAATATTAACATATCTTTCGCAATAAATTTCTTAAAGTATATCTTCTTTCATTCTGTTTAAGTCTTGATTGTTAGCGCCTGAATGACGGCTTGTAGGCAACAAATAAATTAGGATTTATTTGTTTTGCTTCTTAAGTATTAAGTGCATATAAGTTACGATTCCGC